TGAACACTCCTTTTAGATTAAAGCTATGTGCCACACACTTGACCCAACCTTGCTTTTCCCCATATATGTACCCTTAAGATCACTCTGTCATGGTATATAGAAGCTCGCCTGTTTCCTTGAATAACTATATAGCATCCCATTGTATGGATACACTAAAACTTAGTAAGATAGCCTCTTCATGGACATTTGGGTTGTTTTGTGTTTTGCTGTACTAGAATGTACTGTAATAAAGAGCTTTGTGCATGCAACTTTCTCATTCTGCTGGTGAATATTTAGGCTAGAAATCTACCAGTATGATTTCATGGTCAATAACTTTTAATATTATTTTGTTCACACGGTTATTTTTAACCTAGACTATTTCTTTAGCCTCCAGTCTCATTGTATAGCACTTACCACACTTATGTCAATATTTTGCATCTGAAATACAAATCTGATCATTTTATCCCTTTGCTTATAGACTTTCATAATTGCTCCCTCTCTGTGAGATGGTGATGAAACTGTTGAGTAAGAGAGTCCATAACCATCTCTGGCTTTGCTTTCTAGCCTCACTTGTAGCACTTCCCCCATACAAACTTAACTCCAGTTTTACTAAACTTCTAGAAGCTTCCCAAAGACATATGCCCTCTCATGTTTTACACACATCTTCTCTACCTCATAATCTCTATACACCCATAAAAATGTAGTTCAAATTTTGTCTCTGTGAATTCTTCCTGAATTTCCTCAAAAACCAGAAAAATCCTACTTTGCTCAGATGGTACTCTGTGCCTCCTTCTATTGAAACCTTGATCACCTTTTTTGGGCAACTGTTTATTAAAAAGACTTTTCTATGATGTGCCAGAGCTGTGCTGGAAGATTACATATGTATTCTATCAGAGCAGCAAGGTCAAGTAGCACAGCCAGAAGTCAGCACCTCTATAATCTGAGCCCAGTTGCTATTATTCTAAAAACGTGAGGCCTTTGAAGTTGATCACACTACTTTTCTAAACGTTGTGGATTCTTCCAGTTTACTTTCCAGCTTCCATACCCCTCGTTGCACCTTAATCTCGTTAGCTCAGCAGATTTTAATAAAGACAGCATGGTGTCTGAAATCAAATAGACCTGAGATTTATTCCTACCTCTTGGTTTTAACATTAACTACTAATAAAACCTTGAGCAAGAATTTTAACCTTTGGATGCATTTCCTAATCAGCATAATCATACCTGCATTTTTCTGTAGATCAAGTGACATATCTAAGGCCATATATCATATGACATATGATATCTTAGATCAAGTGACATATCTGAGTGTAATTCTTGGCACATGAATGAGGGTTCGTACACATCAAGGGTCTTCTAATAATAACAGGGATTTTGCTTCGTCTAGTATGAAGCACTTAAACAGCAAACACATATGGTAGGTGGTCAGGATATTACTACCTGTGTGTGAATAATTTGATAAATAAATATTTCCTAACACCCTTGCTTTTCCTCCGCAGTTCCTTTTCCTAATTGAAGATATCATTGCCCTTCTAATCACGGCAGCTTCTATTCAGAAAGCTCAGGTTTCAAATTTGGAGATACCTCTGACCCTAAATAAGGCCACATTTTCCAGGCCGCCCAGTCAGCTGGTGAGTGTGCCTGCCAGTTCTGTCCCAGCAACGACTCTCCCAGCTCCTTCATCCTGCTTCTTCTCTGTGTCCTGCTCCAGTCCACTCCCATATCACCTGCCCTTATGAGAGGTCAGTCTATAAGCTAATCTAGGCTCCTGCCTTTCCTGGCCCTTCACCCCCACTATCAAAAAAATGGTTCTCTTTTAAAAGTGTCCTACCCGATTATGCTATATCCTCTCAAATATATATGACAGCTCCCAACAACATATGGTTCAATATCCTGCGCATTTCATTCAAGTTACTTCATAAATGGTCCGAGCTGACTTTCTTTTCTTATCAACCTCTCCACACTCAAGTTTGCACCCTGGAACAACAGGTCAGCAACATGCACTTTATACCTTCAGGTCCTTGGACACCATTTTTCTACCTAGAAAGCTATACCTATCATCTATCTATCATCTATCTATCTATCTATCTATCTATCTATCTATCTATCTATCTATCATCTATATATCTATCTATCATCTATCTAATCTATCTATTTATCTATCATCTATCTAATCTATTTATCTACCTATCTATCTATCTATCTATCTATCTATCTATCTATCTATCTATCATCATCATCATCATTTATCTCTTTTCTGCTCTGAGGCACTCCATGTGCTGTCCCTCCTCTGCTCCTGGACAGTGATTTATCAACTTTACACAACGACATTCTGCTACGCCATGTGAGTGTTTTGAGTATGGGGCTGTGGCGTGTACCTCTGTGGAATCCTTCCCCAAAGCAAAACTGCCGAATGCTGGCTGAACTGATTTTACAGGGTCATAGGTCTGGGGAGTTGTAAGGAATCTTAGACCTCTTCTAATATGATCATTTCATGTAATACATTAGTAATTTGCAGTTCAGAAAATTGGGAAATATTATTTAGAATAACACACGAGCAATAAAATCAAACATATTACTTAGTAATGAGCTTTTGAATTTTTATACTGATGTTGCGGATCTTTTACCTCTACCTTTACAAATGCTCCAAAGAGAGGCTCAGGAATTGTTTTCTATATGTACATTCACACTTGGGGGCAATAGGAGGTATATCACAGTCATATTTATAGAATGGTTCCAAGGACATACACTCAGGATTAAAAGTTCAGGTGCTGGCTCTGCCATTACTGGCCACAGTTTTATTCTTCCCTGTGTTTTTTTTTTTCTTCAGCAATGTTGATTATCTCTGTTATTTATGAATGCATACAATCTACCTCACCCTCCATTTGCCTTTCTTTCCAAACCAACTCTCAAACGCTGTCTTTTTTGGTGTATGTTAGGGACAGGTATGACATGAGGAGATTTCTATAGAGATAAAGCTAGAGATATATTATTCAAAGAAAGATAACTCAGATTCATAAACTAAAATGGAGGTTTTAATTAAATGGAATAATAGAAATTTTAAAAATGAGGTTACTATCTTGGAAAAGTACAGTTGTGTTATCTGTGGTCTTATTAGCTGAGGTGTCCTTTTGACAGTTAGTTGAAAAATACAACTTATATTTGTATCGATGGTGGCATTACAATACATGAAAGCTCAAATCTTTCAACTTAGAGGAGAATAAAAGGTGATAATTATCTCTGCATCAGGAGAGCTTCACTAGTTGCCCAACTAGGTGATGATTTCACTGATTTGGTGGGTTTTGCAATTTTAATTTAACTGAAATTCAACTTGAATTGTATGTGGCCTATTTTATTTTATTATCTTATACGAGAAATAGAATGTTTACAGCCTTGTTGTTTACACTGAATGAAAAGAGAAAAAGAAAACATTTCTAATCTCATTTAACTTACAAGACTAAATCTTTATAAACTGAAATGACAAAAGTATGTTTTATGCAACGCAATTACTCACAATTAGGTGTTGTTTTTTTTTTTGTCATAACAATCTGTTGTGAAGTGTAATGAGAAAGTGGGTAAATAACAAAAGACGTTATTTTAAGAGCAAAATTCCAGAACTTGGAAACCCTCTGAAGGAAAGCACTGGAAAATTTTAGTGGGGAGTATTAAATATCATCTACAACTACAAATACAGGTGGTCTCTAACAAAGGTAGTACATTTCCAAAAAAGTCTTTACCTGGTCGGGCCCTTGGAATACTTCCATATTAACTGACACATTCTCCACCTTCCCAAATGTTACATCAGATGGACAGAGGCCCTAGCTGTATTCTCTTTCTAATGATTTCTAGGAAGCTCATGTCTGACTAATGTAACCCAACTTCCCAGGCTCTAAAATGCAACCAATGGAACCCAAAGAACTGTGAAGATTCGAACACCCTCTCTCTCTCCCTTTTTGATGAAGTTAAAGGATTGCAGCTATGGATCAAGAGACCTCAAACCACACAGGAACAGAAACTGTCATGGCACTCTGGTTTTGGACTCCATGCAACACCGTCAGGTGAAATGAAGTCTTAAAGAGGACCCTGGAGAGGATGTGGCACCATCGCTCCAAACTTCCTAAGATAATGCATATTCTTCCCCTCGGCCAGAGCAACTTCAGCCTTCGGGGAGAGTCCGGAGTCCAGGGACCAAGCTGTGTGCATGGAAAATACCGTTTTTCTATCGGACTCCATGCCCACTGTCTCAAGCGCTGGCCTTGCCATCCTCCTCCATCAGCCCCGGAGGTGGGCCACAGCCTAGAGAAAAACGGCCCTCGGGAATGGAGACTGGAGAGAAAGGAGTCTGCAGCTACTTTCCCCACTTGACACCTCACCCTGTTCTCCTTCCTAGCTGTGCTGCGTGTTTCTCCAAAAAGCATATTACAGGCACCACTCGGTTTTCATGTCTCAGGCTCTGCTTCCCCATCCTGTTCATTACCCAAACTTTGCTATTTCCATGAACTTTTCTTCCTTGCTCTCTTCCCTAGGATGTTGCAAGTTCTCTGGGTCTCTCCCTCGCCCGACCTCCTCCAGCTCTTCCCTCCTCCCCGCCCCAGCCCCCGACACCTGCTGGGGCTGCCCTTTGACCTCCCCCCTGCTCCTGTCCCTCCCTGCGCCCCTTCACCCCTCTGTCCCCGCCGCGGACTCTCCGAGGAGAACCCTCTGCTGCAGCGAGCACCGGAGTCCCCGCGCGCAGCCCAGCGGCAGGAGAGGGCGAGGCTGAGCGGAAGGCGAGGGCAGGAGGGGAGGG